TCAAGGTCATGAATTCACAGCACAGCTGGTGATAACTGCAGTTCTTTTCCATTTTTCTTCATGTCAAGTACTTTACCTGCAGTCACGACTGGGCAACCTGCCTTCTGCTGGCTCCACAATACGAGCGCGCACCAAGGTACTGCACAGTAAGGTCATGGCTGTGAGAATTTGTTTCTGATATTTTAAGGCAGAGGGCAAGATTGCTAAAACAAAGGCAAAGAGGCAATAAAATGCCATAGAAAAAATGAGGAAACATGCACTTCATTTAAAATATATATATGTATGTGCTACGCTCCTTCAAAGTAAAGTACATGAACACACAACAGAAATAGTGCTTCATGTTTCTTTTAGATACGGGATATTTGTTAACATTGTCAGATGGACACAAAGCCAGATGGCTTCATTTTGAACTGTTATACAGCGCTCTGTTTCCACTGTGCCTAACAAAAAATCATTTCTGAAGCAAAAGAAAAAAAAACACACCTTCCATTATGTAACTGTTAATTCAGTCTCAAAAAAACCAAAACAAAACTAGAAAAGAAGCCATTTGGGATCCCATGGAAATATGACTAGATTGTTGCTGAAAATGTATCGCTTAAGACAAACGTTGGATTAAACGACAACTATTATAATGGCACCTTCGTGGCCAGTACAAGCACTCATGGGAAAGTGGTTAATATTTCCTGCAAAGCAGCTGAACTTTTAAGAAAGGCAAAAAACTTCACGTTTGTTTTTCAAAGGCAACCCGTGTTTTCTGAAACTTCACACTGCTGGAGGTGCCCAGAAGCTCCAGGTGACTGTGAGCATCTCCTGCCACCAGCACTTTCCCAATGGCCCCCAGCTCCCAGAGTACAGCCCAAAGTCTGTAAGGAGCAGCACTGCTGGGTGGCAAATGATGAAAATGAAGCTGAGAGGAGCCATGCATCACATAGTGTGATGGTGACAGGGCCAGGAATAAACCTAGACCTCCTGACTCCTACCTTGTGATCTCCCCACTAGATGTCTTCCTGTTTTCCTTTGAAAATGTTGGCAGCTTACTGGAGAGGAAAATCTACAAACATTACACATTCCACCGTCAAAAAAAGGGCTTTGTTATTTGATATAGGAACTCTTTTAATTATCATGGTAACTTCACAGCATGAGGTCACAAAGGGCAAATTTGTTAGCAGCATTTATGAGTGATCTCTCCATGGGTACCACACCAGTCCGAAAGAACTGGCTTGACACACTGGATTTTTTTACTCAGTCCCATTCAAGAACATTTTAAAAATAAGCATCATAACTTTTTGGACTGGAAATACTGAAATTGGTACTCATCCAGTGAGTACTGAACTGATTTTTCATGCAGCGCTTGAATCAACACTGAAACCCATTCCAGCTCCTGTTTCTTCGGATTTTAGTTGCAGATAGAAACAGATGTACACAAATCCAAAGAGAGGGTTTTCCCTGTAGGAGCCAAGAGCTTCAGACGTAACTTTATATACTTCCATGTCATTGATTGTATTTCAATATCTGAGCTTTCAGAAAAAGCAAACTTGTTATTAGCAGTACCTATTAGATATCTGGATAACTAATATGAAGGCTTTCATTAGTCACAGTTTCTTATTAATATTTCTATTAAGTTTGTCCACAATATGCCATTTTTGCCACTTCTTTTTAACAGGAATATTAAGGGGTTTAGAACAAAAATATGTCACAGGCATATGTCACATGCACAGTAAACACACAGTAAAAAGAATAAAGTATTCAGCCATGTGAAAGTATGATATGAAGACTTAAATCCTAAATTGTTCTTGATCTGAAGACAACAGAGAAGTTCTGTCACCTTTATGCCTTCTTACACTTAATGGTATGGGGCACATTGGATTCGGCACTAGGACTAAGGCTTAGAGAACCTGGCAAGCTTTCCTCTTAAAAAAAAACAGACATCAGGCTACATCTAACAAGCCAAAGCACACATCTTTGGGAGTTTTGCATCACACTCAGAATTTGGTCTGTGTCTGAATAAAGCGCACTGGTTTAATGGAGCATCTTGATGGGGTAATTCTGCCCACAGGCTTGTGCTTTTCATCACTGGAACTTGTATGATCTCTGCACCCACTTTCAAGCAGGCTGTACACAGTGACTGTGATATTACAGAAAGAGATGTATTCTTTCCATGGCTATGTTAAGCAAGAGCTACTGTAAGCAGTACTGATGGCAATGAAAACAGCAACTACATTAACTGCAGCTCTTAAAAAGTTTCACAAAGGGAAGTATGGGTCTGCATCTTCATACTGGTGATGGAAAAAAACCCAACAAAGTAGCTTCTTACATTCAAAGAGTGAGAGGTGGGAATTTGGGTACCTTGTTTCCCAGTCCAGCACCCTTCCTGTTACTTGGCCACGATATTCAATATATGTGTATGGGTTTGTAATCCCTGGAGGTGAGCCTGCACTTCAGATACACCACATCATCTGCCTTGTCCTGGAAGTTAGTAAGTCAAGTCCTCTGTGAGGCTCAGAGGTTTGAAGGTTAGGGCTCTGAGACATCACGGGCCATGCAGAGTGCTACGCCTATGTTGCTGCACCAAGGCTGGTGTCCCTATTCAAGAGCATGATGAGCTCTTCAAAGCTTGCTAGTATGCCATATTGCTAGGTCTTGGTTTCTACTGACAGAGAGAGTTGTGACATCTCAGCTAAGCAAACCCTCTCCTACACACACTTGTCCTAGGTGTCTACTACTATGGCATTACGTTCTAGAGCATTGAGGCTGCTAGACCTTGAGTCCCTGTGTGGTCCTAGCCTGCCCTTTGAGGGTCTCAGAAGAGCCATGGTGGGACATACTTAGGCTGTCCACTCTAGGCTTTTAGCCTGAGTTTCATGACTCCTTCTACCCTTGAATACACAGGATGCAAGGACTTGGCAGGCTCAGGTTGTAGGTGATCCAAAGGGTTCATGAAGCTCTTGTACTTTGACATTACAGTGGCACCGGTGTCCTTCTTGAGCACTCTAATAGCATCTCTGAATGTGGCCCACATGTCCTTTCCTAGCAAAACGATCTGCAAGGGTAGACCTTTATAATCAACTTTATACATTCCCAAAGAAACTACTGGGGCTGCATGTGAGCTGAAAAGTCTCAGCTCTAAATAGCTAACCCTTGTAAACCTTCATAGCCATTGCGGATGTTTGTATGAGCATAATACTGCACCTTCACAAGGAGGGCTTCTTTTCCGCCTTTACTGTTCTGAACATGTGAAATACTTCAGATCATCTATATCATATAGCAGGGTCAAGCATTTTAATTTATAGAGGGTCACAGTTGCTACTCCTCTTAAACACCAATGGAATTTTTCAATATCCTTGAAGTAAATCCCTTTTGCAAAACAGTAAATGTTAGCATGACAGTATGTCAAACATGGATTTGTTCCGAGATTATTTACTTACAATTAGACAACTGTGCTGGCTCTCAGAGAGACTAGTCAGCAAAATCAACATTATTTGAAAGAGCAGCGGGATGGCCAGTGTTTTAGAATCCAAGGAATGTGGTTTTCATAAATTCCACAGCCTGGTGAGATGCCACAAAACTAATTTGCTCTTTAAAGTTGGAGGGGGTGGTTATTTCACGCATATCTGCATTAAACCTTTAAAAGGGGTTTCTATTTTGTGAGGAAAAAGCAAATAGTGATTTCTCCGTTTTAAACTTTGTGAGATGAATATTTTCCCATTAGGAACAAAATATTTTCCACTGTGTTTTTCTTTTTCTCTTGACATCTGTGTACATCAACACAGGGCAGAACAGGGAATCAGCTAGCAGCAGCTGCCAGGAGTAAGATTACTGAACACAGCAAAGCAGTTAGTCTGTTTGCAACTCCAGTCTGCTTAATGACACCATCAGTACTTCTGCATGCTGCAGTTCAGACTCTTCTTTGAAACTGCTCTTTCTTAATCAGCATTACATGTAAATCGTTGCTGTGTGGTTTGCTCACTCCTGAGCTGAAAGCACAAGGTAGAGCCTGACTTGCGCAGAGGGAGACAGTTTTTAAGTAGTCATTCCTGGTGTATGTTTTTAATAAAAACTTAATTAACTTCTTTACTGAACTGGCATGTTTCTCTTTGTGGACACACTGTAGTTCAGCACATGCTTTTAAAGCAGGGCAGGGACAGCAGAGAAGCTATAAAGCCCACTTGGGAGTTCAAAAATGGCTGTTTGGACATCTTTTACACACACATTTTAGGGCTGGCTTTTGGTTTAGCTCAACCGGACAGAGTGAGGGCAAAGCAGATGTGGAGCAGCTCTTTGCCTGTGCCAGGGAAAGTAGCAGGCAGCAAAGCTGAGAGCCGCTGGGGCAGAGCATCTGCATGACACAATGATGGTTACCTGGGCCACAGCTCAGAACAAGCAGACTTGCTGCTGTCTCTGATACAGGCACCAAGGTGGCACTTTTGGCAGGGACAGCCCTCCCAGGGAGCTCCAGCGAGACCCCTTCCCCTGGTTCCATAGGAGCAGCTGCTTTTCCATCCTCTTGCTCCCCACGCCAGCCCTGTTCCTCCTGCCTCCATTCTGGGACCATCCGTGTCCCCCTCTTTTTTGTGGCGGGCTTGCAAAGCCCTCGGTGCCTCTACTTGGTGCCACGTATTTGCATGAAACAGCTAAAGGTGCGGGTAAGACATGTCTCTATGAGCAGGGGAAGCTCTGCAGGTCTGTGCGGGATGCAGATAATCTTACAGGGATGCAAAGTTTTGAAGGGGAAGGTCATCAAAGAAAATGTTTTAAATGTCGATCTACCCATACTACCATGCTTGGATTATCCTGCAGAATAAGGAGTCTGTATCCATTGTATGATCGGCTCCAAATATGAGGTTTATTCTGGGAGTTCCCACTGTTTTTCAGCTTAATTTAAAATAATCATTGAAATCCTTGAAGTCTGTTTACAGTACCCCAATGAATTTAACTTGGTCTTTGCAAAATTTGCCTGAGACTTAAGATCTGACTTCTTTTATTTCTGGTTTACCTCTGAGAGATGAATTCTGTGAGGTGCCACATTCCCTCCTTTCCTACAGCCATCACCATCAGCAAGGACTGGGATCCAAGTGCATACAAATAAAGTATCAGCCAGCAATGCTTCAAATCAGGTGTGTTGCGTAAGGGGGTAATAAAGGGAGAGGAAACCATGAGTTTTTCATGCATGTTATGAGGTGCTATTCAAGCTCATCCTGAAGGGGAAAATGATCAAGGAAAAAGACAGTAGATCTTACTGATTTACAGATTTGTGTTTCCTTGATAAAGCTAGGCAGAGTCTTGCTAAAACATTAAAGACATTTTTGCACTCAATGTTCACATAATGATGTGGAAACAGATGCCAGAAATAGTCTCCCGGGGGGGGGGGGAAGAAACAGTGAACTAGGAAACCAGGCTCCTGTTAAGGCAGATAATTAGAATATCTAAAGAATGACAAAATTCCAGTGCCAAAACAGCTCCATTTCACATCATGGAGGAGGCGCCAGGAAGATGGAACGTAACAGAGACCTCAGAAAATTTCTGCTGGTTTCTGTTAAACTTGTTGCAAAGAGCCCATCCACCACGTACTTTGCGTCACAGGCATACTCCCTGCCTTTCTAGTCTATTTATTCAGTTTGTGCCTTCATTCCTTTAGTGTCTGTCCTTAAAACCTTTGTAAGGAGCCATTGTCCACCACCAAAAGCATGTGAAGCTTTAGGTGCACCAGAACTAAGGCACACAGAAGAACCAGACTCAGACCAGCACCAGAGCCAGCTGTAGATAAGGGAAGAGGGTCAGCACTGCTGCAAGCTGCCCGAGATCCACTCATACAAGTCCAATATATTTTGCATGAGGAAACATGGGGTTCAACAACCATAAGGACTTATTTTGCCTTCAGGACAAGAGAAGCCTGCTAGTGCTGATACTCCTCTTTACACTTGGTTGTGTAAGTAAAGGGGGAGGAGGAGGCATCTGGCAGCAAGGAGCACAAAAGCAGGAAAGAACAGGGGATGTGTTTTGCTCTGCTCCATGGAGTAGCCCTGCCCTGATCCATTTGTTGTGCAATTTAAAACTGCCTGTCAGCAACATTATTTATGGTAATGCACAGGCTGAGTCTCAGAATCAGGAAGCCAAATCCAGCTTCCCTGATGTCCTTTTCCACCCAGGCTATTAGATTTTTAGCCTTATTTCCTAAGAAAATGATTCCTACATGCTTTTTGCAGCCTGTTTGCATGACAATCTGTGTGTCTTCTATCACTCTTAAGAGCTTTGCAGCACAATTCCAGTTTCAATCAGATGCAGCAGAAGGGCAGAGGGCTCAAAGCTGTTCAGTTTCCAAACATTTGATTGAACCATTTGTCTGCACAAGAGAAACAAGAGCCAGAGGAGCATCTGTTCCTCAAGGGAATGCAGACAGAGCTCAGCCTTTATTCGGACTGAGGGTGGCCACCCGACCCATCCCCACATGCACATTAGCCAGCCAGCTGGCATGTAGGTATGCCCCAGCCAGCCACAGCTTGTGCTGCTAGAAGATTTAGGGGCACTGAAGGACACTGGAGAGGGTTATTTGTACTGCAGTGGTGGGAAGCATGGGGGACATTAGAGGAAAGGAAGGCATAGGGCAGAATGGCATGCTCCTGAAGACACAAAGAAGAAATGAGATGATTCACAAAGAAGACTAGTGGTTATGCAGTGCAAGTTTGTGGTAAGCCCCTTTCAGCCCTTGCAGAGCACCTCAGCCATTGCAGGGCTCCGAGGGTCAAGGTGATCTTGCACACACCTAGCTGAAGTCTGAGAGAAGCGGTGACACATTGAGAGCAGAATCAAGCACTCTTCATGACATTCTGTGTATTTCTTGGCCTAGACAAAGCGCTGGAGATAAACCAGATGATGCATAAGTTCACAGGTTGTAGTTTAGAAACATTAAAGAAATAGGGCTTCATAAAAGACTCAATGGAACCTTAAGGGTGGAAATAGAAATAGGACAGGTCCAGAGACATGTTGATAGCAGAGATGATTGCATTCCTATTAGCAAACCAAGGGGCTCTGATTTAATCTATGGAATGACCAGACACAAAAGGAATTCAAGTGGAATTTTCTGCCTGCAGAGCAGTGGATAGAGCATGCAGGAAAACTGAAAGAAGAAAAAGGTGTGGTATGCAAGTATGGGCTAAAAAGTATTGTGGATTTTATCTGGAGACTCAGAGAGGGCCACACTTAATTAGAAAGGACTCCTAGTTTCTTTCTGCCCCACAATGTCTCTCATTTGCTATTAGCAGCTCAGCAGGGGTGGTATGATACAATTACTCATTAGGTAAAGGAATTTCAAACCTTTGCCCTAAGAGGAGTCTAACCTTGTCACTCAAACTCAGTCTTGCATCTTTTCATGAGCCTGAGCAATACTTACACAAGGATCACAGAGCTGGGCTGTATTTCGGTTTGTTGTGAGTGCTCAGGGTTTGAAACAGAGGTTTGCTCCTGGCTTCATGTGCTGTGCTATACTGAAGCTGTCCCGCACACCCCATCCTCTCGCCTGCTGTGTGAGGCTGAGACAGCCCGGTCCTATCTGACTAAACTCATGTACCTCATGAAATGTACCAACTACAGCCTCTCCTTTCCTAACAAAACCATTAGATGTGAGTGCAATAACCATATATTTTATTCTGGGCAGAGGGGAAGATGCAAACAATGAGGTTACACAGCTTCCTGGCCATGTCTGCATGAATGATTCATCTTTTGTACTGTAATACTGGTGTTGCTGTAGCTTTTGTGGTTTGAGGGTACTATCTTTTATTAAACTGAATGACTTAACTGGAAAAATGGCCAAAGCTTTTAGCCTTATTTTTCTCCCCCCCCCCCCAACTATGGCAGCTAAGCTAATAAAAGATATTTCCTCTCACTACAGATCTTGCTTTTCTGATAAAATCTCTACAAACTAAATACTGCACTGGTGTACGGCACATTCAGCATTATCCACATGTGTCACTCTTTTCAATAACTAATAAATAAAAATATCAAGTGAGTGTACATCAAAGGCATTTAGAATAAAATCTTCGAATTAAACAGGAACATATGTAGCTCACATATCTTTATTTGAATAAAGAAAATGGAAAAACTAACAAAGTGTACTATTTCAGCTGATCTGTTTTCCTCAGAAATCTTTGCTGAGTAAGACACTGAAATGTTAAACTTTGTTTCTCTTTCCATTTCTGTTGCTTAAGGGATTTTCTACAATACTGTGGAGTGTGTGTGTGTGTGGAAAATAACATGGCTTTAACTTTTTTTTTTTAAGTCACTTTGATTCTCTTTTGTTATGCCAGAGATTTACTGTTTCTTTTGACATCATAGCAGCTGTTTTTGCAAGGACTGCTTGGGACAGCAGCAAAGAAATCTTGCTTGCTTCCGTCCACATGTACAGAACAAAGAGCTAATACACACCAAGCAGTTTTGATTGCTTGGTGGATAACAAGGAATGAGCAAAATCCCACAGAATTCTCAGGAAGAGACTGGAAAAAAGAAGCAAAGTTATCCAGAAATAACACCATTTAGTTTGTGACCAAACTGAAGAGCAGTATCTTGGGTTTCTTTGGGAGGCCACTGCTTGGGATCAGGTGCTCCTACAGGATGTAATCTGCAAGCCAGGTTTTCTCCCTGATGCTTGTCTGTGGGATTGCCTCTGCTTTCCTCAGTGGAAATACCACCCAACCTGTCCCAGGATTTAACTTACTACCACTGATCGTTTAGCGGGTAGGAGAGCTATTTCCCCTAAGAAAGCAGGTTATCTGTCAGCAAGCAAACCACCCTTCTGCAAACACCCACCCTTTCATAGCAGGGCTACTTCTGTATGGATTCAGATGATTTCCACAGAAATCTGCAGCAGGGTATTTCCCAGACAGTGGACGGACAATGCTTTTTGCTCAATATATCAAAATCCAAGCCCGAGCCTGGAGAGCAGGTACTTTCTGTTCCTAAATACTTCCCTTTGTATAACTAGTTGCAGAGACATTAGGATTCAACTCCTTTATGACTACCCTGCAAGGTTGTTAAAGAGATATTAAAAAAGAAATAATAATGGAAAAGCAAATCTCGCTTTTTAGAAAAGCAGCTCAGAAGTTTTCAGCCAAAATATATTACCTCCATGATCCAAACAGACAGAAAGAAAGCACATATAGAAAATACCATGAAGAAAGCAGTGAAGCAGGTGGGCTTGAACTTAAGAGTTATGGAAAATGCGACAATAAGCAGAAATACCTTTATTTCTGGCATTTCAGACAGTGTAAGTTTTCCTGTTCTGACTAACCAGGAGGAAGCTAAAATTAAGCTGGAGCTGGGTATGCTAAGCAGTTATTGCTGTGTCACAGCTAATGCTCCAAACAGGCACTCACTAGTGGGATAAATACTTCTAGTCCTTACTTAGATTTGTCGTGTTTGGTGTTTTGCTTGTGGAGGATTAAATAAAATAATATGCAACATAATACACCACATACCAAGCGCTTTCAAGGAAGAGAAAGCATCTCCCTTACTGTGACTGTATTGGCAATATGCAGCCATTGCAGTGTGCTAGCATCAACACAAAAGCATTTAGAAGCAAGGATGGTGCAGAAAACACATTGTTCAATGTAAGAAATCAGATGAACTAGGCAAAGACAATATATTTACCTGTATAATGGCATTTGGTCAAAACTCCTCATCCCTTGTGAAGACAGACTGCTCCTTCACAAGTGAAAGCATAGCACAGTCTCTCACCCTGTGGGTGATACTGCCATTGCAGCCAAACAACATTCAATACCATGCTGCCACCTTGACTCAAAGCATTTTATAAGGGTTAAAGGTAGGAGATCTTACAAGCACTCCTCCCAGCCCTAGGGTTTCTCCAGGGAAGCCTCCTTCCCCAGGCAGTCCCGTCTTTGCCATGCCAACATGATCAGCACAGCTTCCTTTGGCTGGAGCTCTTTGTGTGAATCATCCTGCCAGTGAAATTGCAAGATGATTTATAGAGAACATTTGAGAACTTTTGATTGGTAAGCTACGGAGATATCTTGGAAAATCTGCTTTGGCAAACAGAGCCACATAATTGGATGCCTCCAGTTGCATACGCAAATAAGGCTTTTCTATAATCATAAAGTGAGAGCT